CAACAGGCGCATCTGCCTTGCCCTGACGGCTATCAATAATCCACAGTGTCGCCGGAGCGGGTGCTAAGACTGGTCCTCCCGCTGCTAAACTCGAGCAGTTGGTCTTCTTATGGCCCCTCTGATTGCAATGGAAGCAAATCAGATCAGATGCATGGGTGATTGTGGTGGTGGTAATGAAATCCCTCCTGAAGTGACCCGTTATGACGCACTTGAAGCAACCATAACCACCCACCCTGAATCCCCCATCGTGCGTTTTACCGTATTTTCCACAGAGGCCTCGACCCTGCTGGCCCCTTGATCTTGAGTAAAAAACCTTTGGCCTTTTGACCGAACCCTCGAAACTCTGAACCTTATACGACTTCCTCTTCTTCTCCATCTCCATGTCAATCTCCCTTTCTCTGGCTCGCGCCACCATATCCTCGAGTGTCTTGCAACTGGATCTGATCACAAACTGTCTGATATCGCTCCTCAACATCTGGTGATATCTCGCCTTCTTCATATACTTGTCCACCACATATTGCGGGACCAATAACGCCCTCTCTGGGAATATAACAGTGATATATGCCACCGTCTCAGTAGTCTGGCGAAGGTCCTAAAACTCCCTCGCCAACTGTTGGACCTCAATCGCCGGTGCAAATTCAGCCTGACACCTCATCACGAAATCCTCCCAAGTCATTGAATCAACCGCCTTGCCTCCCAAGGCATGTCCAACTTCCTCCTACCAGTCTCGAGCTCTATATTTCAGAATACAGGATGCAAGTCTGACCTTTGCCCCTTGAGGCAACAACTAGTACGAGAGGAATTTGTGACATCCGCTAACCAACTCCTTCTCACAATCGGGTCCTTCTTCCCGAATAACTTCGTAGCCCCACATGACCGAAACTCACGGAAAGTCAAAGCGTGAGCTCCCATCATTGCCACCATCTCAGAACGAAAAGCGCCCAAGCGCTCATCCAGAATCTCTATGATACCCTCATTGATCATACCGAAGATCACATGAGACTGCTCGAGAATGTTGCAGGTAATCTCTGATGAAATGAACTCCCGTATCTGTTCATCCATAATCCCGACCCAAGAGCCTGAACCCGAACCATCTCCGACACCGACACCCGTATCTCCACCAGAGCTTCCTCGAGTGACCACCGTATGGAAAATAAACATATAAACCATCAAAATATACTCGAAGAATCCCATACTCAACAAGCATCCTGGTTTCATCGTGACTTTCCTTGACTCGAGTACGAATCTTCTGCTTCCAGTAGTACGGGCCCATACTACCTTCCACATCTATCCGTACTTTCCTCAAGGATCGCCCCGAATCCCCCAAGTTACCATCCTATCAAACCAACAATCCCTAATAAAGTAAAGCTCTCGGCACCAGATAACATCCTAGGTTTTCCTAGGGATACCACCATACCACTCTCTATCATCAGCTGCAGAAGGAACTCCTTTTAACATCCTCTAACTAACTTACAAACACAATTACATATTACTGACACCATATAAATTTTGAATGAAAGTCTCACGCTACAACGGTTGCACTCAGACAAGAGATGCGTAATAGGGTTAAACCCAACCTTATAAAATTATCTAATCTCGATAATATGTAACTTAGCGTATTCGATTACTAGTTAGCTGTTGTTAAAGGGGAACTCCTAAAAGCACAAAGCAAGCAACATTCGAGCGTTGAGTAATCGAAATCAAAGCATAACCTAAATAGGCCATCCTATCACTGACTGGTCCAAAATTAGCATGCAAGTCTATGAGCTCATACAATGGGCATATAAATGCATCTCTCTTAGCATTCTATCGTGCAATCATGAGCAGATCTTTAGCTATAATCTAGCATGTGGTTCACAAATTCATAATTCAAAGCATATCACATAGAACATGTATGGGTATTTTGGGAGAACGTACTTGAGCTCAGTCGATTGAATGCACAACACCCGTTTCTTTTATTAGAAAATCCTTTAACTAAAGCATTTATTTTATGAAAAAATCTATCAAACCCTCAGTTTGAGTTCAGACACACCCGATAGTATGTCTGAATCCCTCAAACCAAGGTTCTGATACCAATTTGTAACGTCCCAAAAACCTAGAACAAAATTTTTTGTTTTTATATTAAATAAACATCAACCAAACGTGTTAATCAAACCCATAAGAAAGTCATAGTGTATCAATAATCATCCAAAATATATCAGAGTCAATAAAGCGGAAACATCATGGTGTGTGCGATGCGATCATCTCGAGCTCTTCCCCTTCGAACCATAAGTACCTGAAGCATAAACTGAACACCGTAAGCACAAGAATTAGTGAGTTCCCCAAAATACCCTACACCATACATACAATGGGGCATGGTCTCCATCCATCGGGCCCCGCCCGACATCAAGCCCCGCTCAGAACATATATGTCATTAACATGCGATGGGTCCCACCCAACACACTCATCAGGCCCCGCCTAACATCGGACCCTGCTCGACATACATACAACACATGCAAGAGTCACATAGGAAACTAGCATACAAATAACCATAATCCATGGGCTGACATTGGTTCCTTCGACCCGCCAAACACTGGGAGGAGACTCACCTCAAACTACTGAAAAATCACATAAATGCTCGGACTACTAATCCGGGAAATCTCCACACTTCATATGCTTGCAATGTTGATGAAGACTCTGGATATTCAAGCTCTATTCCAACCAAGGCTTCACCACTAAGATCCCCCTTATTCAAAGAGCACAAAAAACAAACAAAGGATCACCACCAAGGCTCAAAACACACAAAGAATAGTTAGGGTTTCATGGCGAGTCTTTAGAGGGAAGGAGGCTGATGAGGGGAAAGGTCTTGAGTCCATAATGTTACTTAAATAGGATCCAAACCCTAAAATTAGGGTTTTTCCCCATGATTACGTACGCCCCACGAACAAGAGGTACGCCTAGAGTACGTTCCCCCTTCCTAAAAAATTACAATAATGCCCTTAGGGACCAAGTTTAGAAACTAATTACACGCCAAGGGTCAAAATGAAAATACCTTGAATCGGGTGTTACATTCTGTAGATTTGTTGACCCATCAAATTCTGTCCATAATGAATCAAGTTTGTTGTAGTAGTCAGACACATATAACCTATTTCGAGTTAAAGAGTTTATTCTTTGATGTTGAAGACAATAAATCCATTAGATATAAAGTAAGCGTCATTTAATTAATTCCATATATCAATTGCCTTTTTCAAAGCAAGCATGTCCTGCATAAATGGTCTCAAATATTGATCCAATAATCCAAGAACACATAACAAAATTGGCTCTTTCCCATTTAAGAGATTTAGTTGGATCATCTTCAATTTTAGTAACAGTACCATCGACAAATACCAATTTATTTTTAGCTTTTAAGGCCACAGTCATAAAACTTTTCCAAACCTTAAAGTTTTCGGTTCCAATAAGTTTAAAACTTGTTATAGTTCCAGTTACAATATTTGTAGGATGTATATGAAGAGGGTCATCAACATCTAGTGTTTCCGACTTAGTACTATAACCACTAGGCGTTTCACCAACAACTATAGAAAATCAAGGAAATAAGAAAACACAGAGAAACTGAGTTACTTAACGATAAGGATGTTCAACCAATATGACGGTGAACCAAGATCAATAACACACACCTCGAAAAAAACAACACAAAAAACAGATTCAAGAACAATAACAATCAATCAAACATATATACCATTGGTGATCATAACCTGGTAAACCAACCCTAATATCTAGCAAATCAAATATGAATCAGAGAAAGAAACACATGCTTACAATGAGCCAACCATACGACCCTAGGAAGGGGATCATGAACATATAGGGTTAGAAGACTTACAGTGGTTGATTAAGGTCTTCAATACATCAATGAGGATACACAAACACACTAAGACACGTACCTACAATGAATATGTCTTTATCGATTAGGGTTTATAGAAACCCTAGTTAATTTGGGTTATGAAAATTCGTGTAAGAAGAAACCCTAACTAATTAGGGACACAACACACACATAGATCAGAGACAACATATCTCAACTAAGATTACGTCGTTATCCTGAACAGATGTGGGATGAATCACAAAAAAACAAAGAATCGAAGACAATCAATCCTGGAACCAAAGCGAGGCATACTCGACAGTCAAGTAGACATCGATTGAAGAGCATAACGACAAAGAGACTCCTTGAGCTCTGATACCATGTACAAAATAACAATTTGAATTTCAACATGAACTATCTACTTTATTATGATAGATCCGTTCGTTTTTCTCAACTTTTACAACTGAAACATCACTACATACAACCTAAATCTACTTTCGTTACTACACACTCAAATAAGAATAAGCAAGAACAAATAATTATACAAATGATCAATGAAACCCTAAGAGAGAGGAAACCCCAAACTAAAAGAGAAGATAACTTCGATCATCTTGATTGAATTAGCAACTACACAATATATCACCCACCAACCTCTATCGGGTCACCCATGGATAGCCCATGGATCGACAGACCCGCAAGGCATTAACCAAACTTATACCTGCACACCTTAAACAAAAATAACATATACAAAATATATCCAACTTATTAAAGAGACGAAACATTATACCTACCATTTACGCTACAAACCTTGCACAATGAAATATGTCCAAATATAAGGAGTCAACTTGAAGTTTTATAATAACACCACATTATTCAATAAGATTTTCGAAACAATTTAAGCATTCGAGAAACCTTACGTTCCAACCGCAAGATGTATTAAAGTATAATAAGATGTGTTAAAGTATAATATTGTATAGTGTTTAGGGTCTTAGGTCTTTAATATAAATCTAAAAGATATAAATTAATCCAATCACTTAATTCGAATATTCTAAATATAAATGTTAATAAGTAAATTAAAAACACGTTGCAAATAATAAAAAAGGGTCCATGGTAACCCAACGTTTCTAAACTCCGTCACATATAGACACAACACAAGAGAGCGAAAGGAGTTTACTTTACATGGAACGACTCGGCTGACTCAGTTTTTTTATACGAGAGACTCACTCGCTGCAAAATCCATCCCCCAGATGGAGAGCTCACAGTCACACCATCAATTTTTAAAACCATTCCTTCCCGCCGACGATCATCGCTTTGAATTCGAACTCTACACCATCCCCGGCAGCTCCGGTAAGTCCTCACTCCGTTCTCCCTTTCTCTCTCATGGAAACAAACCCTAACCCTAGTTCAATTCGTTTTTCTCTTGCTGTTTCAGCCTGGTTTTCTTGGGATAACATTCACGAAACCGAGAAAACTTCGCTCAAGGAGTTTTTCGACGGGGCTTCGTTTACTAGAAACCCTAGGGTGTACAAGGAGTATCGAGATTTCATTATTTCAAAGTATCGGGAAGATCCTTCTAGAAGGCTAACGTTCTCCGAAGTCCGAAAATCGCTAGTCGGTGACGTCAATTATCTTCTCAAGGTGTTCCGGTTTCTCGAAAAGTGGGGGTTAATTAATTTCGGTGTACCATCTCCGTCATCAGCGAGCGGTGGTGAAGATAATGATTTGGTTACGGAGGACGAGGAAGGGAGATGGAAAGTTAAGGTGGAGGAAGGGCCTCCTCATGGTGTTAGGGTTGTTGCAATTCCAAATTCATTGAAACCTGTTTCATTGCCGACTACTGTTAGCTATATCAATGGCTCTCATCTGGCTGAGAGCGATTTCAAAATGCCACCCCTTTCTTCTCATTCCGATGTTTACCAGGAATTGATCGATTTGGTATGTGGAAATTGCAAGGAGCTGTGCGAATCTGGTCATTACGAGTATACAAAGGTTTGATTACTTGATTTTGTTTTCTTTTTCTCTGTGTGTATACATGAATTGATAGATTATTCCATCTTTGATTCAGAAACCATAGTTATCAGATTATCTTTTCAGTTTACACATCTGATTTTATATACAGGACAAGACTTCCATCATTTGCATTAAGTGCTTTGAAAACGGAGCTTATGGGAAGAACAAATCCCTTGATGATTACAAGTTAATCGACTCCACTCCTGACAATAAGAACAATGCAACTCCTTGGACAGAAGCAGAAACATTACTTCTTCTAGAATCCGTATTAAAGCATGGAGACGACTGGGATCTTGTAGCTCAAAATGTTCAAACCAAGAGTAAACTCGAGTGTATTTCAAAACTTATACAATTACCTTTCGGCCAACTTATGTTGGGACCCACATATGATAGATTCAGACACCAGGACACCAATTTCAATCCAAACAACCAGAAAAAAGGACAAGTATGCCCTCCATTTCCACCACCTCAAGAAACTAAAGATGTTGAACCCGAAAACAAAATAGAACAAAATGGTGATGCTGATAGTGAAGCCCCTCCTCCAAAGAGAATATGCATTGAACCCATTTCAGATTCTTCACAGATTGACAATAAAGATGAACAAGTGGGACCATTGTTAGTTGCCCCTGAAGAACTTAAAGAAAAAGAAAGTCAAGTTTCTGATTTCAAGATTCAGAAGCAGCAAGATGGAGATTTAGAGGACAATTGTGTTGTGAAAAACGATTGTTCTAAAGTAGTCCCCAATGTCAGTCATTCACTTATGCAACAGGTATGTAATATGTTGCTACTCTATAACCTATTAACTAGTTTTATTACTTTTTTTTTTCTTATTGTAATCTGTTATAGGTTGCTCGCATATCTGCTGTGGTGGGTCCACATGTTGCAGCTTCTGCTGCTGAGGCTGCAGTTACAGCTCTTTGTGAAGAAAATGAAATTCCAAAAGAAATATTTGATAATGAAGAAAATGACAATGAGCCTGAAAGGTTATTATCTTTTTATCTCTCTTTTTTAAACATGTTATAATCAGTCATTTAGTCTGTAAATTGTAACAAATCAATATTTTATATCCTTTGTTTTTTTCAGGATTTCTCAAGGCAATGACTCAGAGATGGAATCAGGTACATAAAAAAAAAATTAAACAACTGCAAATTTGTAAACAGTTAGAACTTAACCTTAAAATCCCTCTTTTCATGACTTTTTCTATTAAGTCATATATATAATCTATCAGATTTTAGAACTTTATACACTAAAGCATGTCTCCTAAGAAAATGATTGATTTGTAACATGTTTAAAAAAGAGAGATAAAAAGATAAATTTTGAAATCTGGGCCAAAAATGTAATTTCTTTTGGACCAGATTTGTAAATTTTAGTGTGTAATGGCAAAAAGTGTAAATTTTGGACCAAATTTGTAATAAATTTTGAAATCTGGGCCAAAAATGTAATTTCTTTTGGACCAGATATGTAAATTTTAGTGTGTAATGGCAAAAAGTGTAAATTTTGGACCAAATTTGTAATAAATTTTGAAATCTGGGCCAAAAATGTAATTTTTGAAAGTTGGATGAGGGTAAAAGGGTTAAATTGAATACGGTTACCGGTTTTTGGGACTTAATTGAATAAATAAAAGATATAAGGACTAAATCGATTATGAGACCAATATGTAAGGACTTTATTGCAGTTTTTCCCTAAGTAAAAAAGAAACAACACCTAACTTTACACTGTATACAGAAAAAGGTGTTATACCTTTACCGTTACGGATGAGAGCCACAAGTGCAACCGCGCTTGGTGCGGCAGCCGCGCACGCCAAATTATTAGCAATCCAAGAAGAGAGAGAAGTTGAACGGTTGGTGTCAACCGTAATTAATACACAGGTGGGCCTCATTTTTTTTTTTTATAAATAATTTATCATATAGATGTTTAAGATATTTGACTAATAGTTAAACATTTTTCGGATTCAATAGTTGAAAAAGTTGCGGTATAAGATGGAGTTATTGAAAGAGGTGGAAGTGATAATGGAAAAAGAGTTTAGTCAAATGGCTGAGGTGGAGGAATCGTTGGTGGTGGAGCGAATGGAAGTGGTTGAGAAGGCGGTTGATGGCGGTGTAAGTAGGTGGAGGGATCGGACGGTGGTTAAGTCACAAGTAGAGATTATACTCTAGATTAATATCTTTTAGTTTAGATTTTTTTTTTTTTTTTTGGGAAGTATTGATGTGTAAGAAAAATGTAGAATTTGTATGAATGATAGTTTTATATTTGAGGATGGGTAAAGATTTGATTTTAGATGATTTGAATTTGTGTTGATTTTTTGGATGGGAAAGTCTAGATTTTGTTTTTTTAGTTTTTCAAATTATTTTTTAGTCGAGTTGGATTATAATAGATGATAAAAAAAAGAGAGCCGAAAAGGTGATTTTATTGATGTAAGAGTTGTGATTTTATTTGTCTATGTTAAAAATAGAAAATCGTATTTGTAGTAGTTGTTTTTCGGTTTGAAACCAAATCAATCTGAATTGTAAATTGTTTCTGGTTTGGAACTCTTAATTTTGGCTAGGAGAGTCGTTTTAAACCATAATAAGAAATATTTAATATTTCTTCTAAACTATATTCCTGGTTCAAAACGGATCAAAGTTGAACTTTTAACCATTTAAGAAATACACCATATCAACACAAAATATCATTGAACATTGCAGCCCAGTATCTAAGTTGTTAAATTGGTGGTGATATAATATCATTAGGTCATCCGTTACCCATAAGTCACTGTCACTATAAAATAGTGAGTACTCTACATCATTGTATCATTTTAGTTTTTTTATTATTAAATAAAAAACATATTTTTAATTAAGAGAGAGAGAGAGATTAGATTTAATTATGATGGTGATTACGCCACAACATTACACCATGATGGTGTTCACTATATTAGTCGACTACCACTTCATCACCACAAATGTCTCATGTTAACCATACCGGTTGGTCTTATGGTTATTTGATAGTTGTTAACCGGGTTAGAGGTTTGTACCGTTTAGAAGTAAAATAGAACACCAAACATGTGAACCGATGAACAAGTCCAAGGGAGGGGTTGATCAAAAGCAAAACGAAGAACAATTTTGATTAGGAGGAAAAAATAACAGGACCGGATTTGTAAAAAAAATAGGGACTAAGTCCAAAGGTGCAGAAGGGAAACAAACATACTGACTCGGTCCACTGAGGACCGATCCTAGCTTTGGAGCCAATTAGAAGGCAAACCAAATGATCCCTTAGTAAAAAATGGTCCACTTATTAAATATCATATCATACAATTTTTTTTTGTCATTGTTTCCTTAAATAATATTTGGTTTTAATTAAAAACAACTCAAAATATAATATAAACTAAATTAGTCTTTGGACGCACTTACGGTGTCTAATTTGATGGTTTTATAATTTTTCATTTTGATACCAATTCACTTATTTATGTAACTTCATAAATTTCAAATTGATTTTTAAAAAATAAAAGTAAACAACTCGAAACCATTTTCATAAAAGGATCATAAGTATCAAATAGTTTCAAAACACCAAACCTCGAGACAAAACATAAATCAAAGTTTGCGAAAATCCAAAACATATAAATCTCGATGTGTTTAAAGTTATCCAACGCCATTCCCTCTATCAACGGAACAACCTGAAAATATTTAATTTCAAAATGTAAGTACAAAGTTTTGTGAGTTTCCTAATATACCATAATATTCCATCGGACATAAAATGCATAACAACAATAAACTCACAGTTAACACCTTAGTGGATCAATAGGCACGTAGCCAACTCCCCACGTGACATGTAGACCCCAGACGACTCACAATCAACACCTCAATGGGTGATCATCCCAATACATGTGGACTCCCAACCATCTTCCTACTGGGCTCGAATCCTCTTGGTCAACCACCCATAGGGTCATCCACATAACATAGCAAAGACTAATATATATAGTCTACCAATAGAATCATACACTAACAATGTTCATACATCCCACCACACAAGGACATATAATGGTACACACAGTATAGTGAGAAAACTCACATAAATATGGAAATCACAAACTCGACAGTAGTCTCTTCAAAAGAACATTTATCACGAATAACCTTATACCAAATAAAGATCGGACATCGGTCTACTCAAATCTATGACAATTGAGAGATTCTTGTCATCGGCCGTCATTAGATATTAGCACCGACAAATGATGATAATAGAACTTTTCACATTTCATGAAAAATATGATCAATTAGGTAATAATAAAAGGGTAAAAATAAGTGACCAAAAAGTTACACCACTTTTAATAATGGTTAGTGTATTTTGAAAGTACACAACAAGTGACCCCAATGATGTAAGTGTTGTAAAAATCTGACTCCGATTAGAGGAGTTATGATTTTATAAAAGATAAAAATCAACTGCGTTAACATCGCTATTAACGTCAAAATGACACAAAGAAATCGGTTGAGTTTTAGCTAACGTCGTTAAAAGCAAAATCGTAGTACTTCGAGAGGTAAGGACTTTAAAAATAAAAAATGTCAAAACGAAGTTCGTATGAAGGAGATACGATTTAAAAAAAAATATAAAATATGGGTTAAAAATAAAAGTTCAAATTTGACAATGCAATCTTAAGGAAAATTGTAGTATTAATAGAGAGCCACACAAATATATAAAGAGTGTAAGAAACAATATTCATATAAGGAAGATATGATTTTTTATAAAAGATTTAGAGGTGTGTGTCATGCTTGACGTGCACGTCTGACATCCATATTCATCAAGATTAGAGAGATGTGAACCATCCGAAGTGTGACACGTATCAAACTCTGGATGGAGCCACGAGTCGAGTGCACGTCGCACGTGAAGTGTGTCGCGCGCACAAGCAATATAAATAGAGGTGCTCACTTTTTGATTTCTTCACACCCAAAACCCTTTCTCTATTTCTCTCAAGCTATTTCATAAGTCCTCCTAATGACGTGAAGCTTCAGGTGTAATAGCATGGATGCTTCAGATTACGCTACTAGAGTGAGTTCACGACCCCATTTTACTGTTTTAAAAGTTTTACCCCGGGGGGGGGGGGGGGGGTAATACATGCTTATCAAGCTGCTTTATTAAAATATATTTATACCTATAAATATCAGTCGTTTCATAAAGCATGAAACCTTAGGATAATGTAGCTATAGATACTATACATATTTGTAAGCTATGATATCATGCCTAAGAGATACGATGTCTGATATTCTAGGAAGAAATATTGCCTAGGTGTTATAATGACCAATTTCCTATGATAACATAGTACCTAGAAGTAATCCTGGTCAAATATAGAGATATACATTGTACCTAATCATTACTCTACCCAAATATCCTGTTTTCAAATAACCATAATTAGGGTGTATAGATGTATCGAATATATATATATATATATATATATATATATATATATATATATATATATACATACAAACAAAATAATTATGAGATCTAAAAGATATAATTATCAAATATAGAATTAAAAGGGTTTATATTGCGATAGTTATAGGAAATCACTCAATAAGAAGAAAAAACATCATAGATGGTCCCTGTGGTTTCCCAAAATCTGAAGTTTAGTCCCCGTGGTTTAAAAACCTCATAGATGGTCCCTGTGTTTTCAAAACTTTTGACGATTGGTCCTTATTGCTAACACCGTTAAGTTTTGTCCGTTAACTGAAGGGCATTTTCGTCATTTCACGACCACAGGGACCATTTATGATGTTTTCACTTATTTTAAAATAAATATGCAAAAGGGGTTCTCTCTCTCTCTCTCTCGTCAAGAACACATATACACACACAATACGAACATACATTCCCTACAACCAAAATCGTTGTCTGCGATCCACCCCTTTCTCTTCTCCTTTTTTTTTGAATCCATGAAAACATACCTGCAATTAAGAAAAGGATATCGAAATTGAGCAGATGAAATGAAAAACCCTCACCCCAATCTTTTCGATTCATAGAAACGAAATCAAATTAAGCAATCATAAGTTGATTTGGGAGAAGAATGTTGGGGAAGTTTTACCTAGCCATCAACTCTCTTTTGCTTTGATAGATGCGCCACCACCATCGACCTCATTTGTTCTCTTCAAGCTACCTGCTCCGGCCTCTGTCCTGTTCATCATCATCTCCACCCACTTAGGTAATCAATTGAGAAAGGGAAAAAATATCTTCCTCCTGACCACTGTGAACACACCAAAATGAACAAAAAACACCACAAAAAATGAAGTTCAATTCTTCAAATCTTGAAGAACATATGGATTTCCCAATCGAATCAAAACCTAGAAACATGAATCGAGTTGTAACAATAATTGTGAAGAACAAATGGATTTCCATGGATCTTACTTACTCGTATACTTGCTTTATCAAGTTAATTTCTTCTTATGGGGACTTAACACCAGAGTTCAGATCATCAACCTCCCACCCCCACCACCATCAACCTCTCATCACTATCTTCAACCTCAAAATCGGAGTTCAAATCTTCCTCTTTATCCTCAAAATGTGGGTAAACCTTTCTTTCTCAGAATAAACAATGGCAAAAAATCGATTTAAAGAACATTCAAACCCTGGAACCAAAAAAACCGAACCAAAATTGGTGAAATATCAAAGACCCCATCGTTCTCTTCCTTTTTAATCGCATCTGAATAAACAAAACATTACGATGGCTTGGTGTTTGATTTTCAGGTTTAGAGAGGTTTGATTTTTCTAATTTTCATGTTTGGGTTATCGTCGTATTTGTGTGGAGGAAAGGGGCGGGCGGGTTTAATGATGATCGGAGGTGAGGCAGACGCGAGAGAGAGAGAGAGAGAGAGAGAGAGACCCGTTTTGCATATTATTATTATTATTATTTTAAAATAAGTGAAAACATCATAAATGGTCCATGTGGTCGTGAAATGACGAAAATGCCCTTTAGTTAACGGACAAAACTTAACGGAGTTAGCAATAAGGACCAATCGTCAAAAGTTTTGAAAACACAGGGACCATCTATGAGGTTTTTAAACCACGCGGACTAAACTTCAGATTTTGGGAAACCACAGGGACCATTTATGATGTTTTTTCCAATAAGAAAGATAAATGATAAAATACCTAAGGTTAATGCGTTAGTGAGTTGTTAATATTCATCTAATAGCCTTGATTAAATTCGGCTATCCCGAACCTGTAATCATTAAAATTGCGAGAGTTATAAAGATACATTGTAACGTCCCAAAAATAAGACCCAAAAATTTTATTTTTGATTTAATAAAACATTAATCCAAACATTGCCATACAACCCCAAAAGATCAGTGTATGTCACTACATCACAATATATCAGAGTAAATATCAAAATGCGGAAAATGGTGGTGTGTACTATGCAATCATCCCGGGCTCTTCCCTTTTGATCGTGAAGTACCTGAAAGACAAACTGAAAACCGTAATCATAAAGCTTAGTGAGTTCCCCAAAATACCACATACCATACATAAATAAATCACATAATGGGTCCCGCCCAATCAGTGTAAATGGCCCCACCCAAAGTCATATAACGGGCCCCTACCAAACTCACATAGCGGGCCCCGTCCACATACAAATCATATAAGCATAACAAGCACATACACATGCAAGAGTCACACAGACATCTAACATCCTACATAACAAATCATGGGGCGACATTGATGCCTTAGACCCGCTAAACATGGTGAGGAAACTCACCTCGCACTGCTAAAGTGACAGACTTCGATGAAGAAGTCTAGTTAAAGTGGGGGAGAATTGTAACATCCCGATGATAAGGTGCTTTTAATTTTAACCCTATAATTGAATTATATTGCATTTTGGTCCCTAAGTAGAAGGAAGTGTGAATTGGAAGCCCTAGTGGCATTTTCATAATTTGGGAAGGTTGGGGAGTAAGACATGCGTACGTGTGTATGCTTAGCATACTAAGGTACGCCTTAGTACGCAGGGCGTACGTGGCAGACATGCAAACCCTAATTTTTTAGGGTTTGGCTCATATTTAAACCCCATTATAGCCTCATTTCCCCTCACCTCATCAGCCTCGACCCTCTTGATACGTTTTTGCAACCCTAATCCCTATTGTGAATCATTTCTAAGCTTGAGTGTATGTGTGTTTTGTGATTTTAAAGAATAAGGAAGGAATAGGAGACCACCTTGAAGGAGTGAAGTTCTCTAGATCCAAGACTACACCACCTTTTGGCACCATTTTGAGGTATCAAGTTTTGAACTTGGTGTAGTTTCTTGTAGATCTTGTTTTGGGCTTAGTTTTAGGTTCTTTTTGTCCCAAATGTGGTGTTTCATGAACAAAGCATGTTCTTGACCCATTAAGCTGTCCTTTTAGACCCTTGAAAGAGTATTGAGTCATAAAGTGGGTTTCAAATGGTTGGTTTTGCTCCATGTCTTAATGGCAAAAATACATCTTGTAGGATGTCTTAATGGATTAAGAAGTTGAGATAAGCACTTAATGGGCATGCAAAGTCATAAAGTTGGAAAGTTTATGACTCTTGAGTGTATTTTTGCCATGAATTTGAAATATGGACGTGAGTGCTTAAGCCATTAAGCACTTAATGAGTTTTGAAGCTTCTGGGAGTACGCCCAACGTATGAGGTCAACCACTCTGATGGTGGTCAACATGCGAGATTGGTCATTTGGTTGGAATAGGTGACAGTTAGAGCTGAGATTTGGAGTCGAGACCTCATCAACTTTTGTTCAGTTTGTGAGGTGAATTTTCCTCACTGTACTCACGGTTCGAAGGCACCAAGGCCGACCCATTGGATTAGATATCCTGTTATGTGATAATATGTTTTGTGTTGTGGTGATCTGTTAGATCGATATCCTGGTATATAAGATGATACTATGATTAGTGATCTGTAAGATCTGTTTGTTTGTCGGTTGATTGGTTATATGTATGCTTATCTGTTATGTATATGTCGACATGATATATGTGTGGTTTGGTTGAGGAGGACTAGTGTAGGCTGAAAGCCAAGAGACACAAGGCGTCCCAGATAGACCGCATGCCTGAGGGGCGTACCAGTCAGGCCGAATGCCCGAGGAACGTTCCAGATAGGCTGAAGGCCCAATAAGGCGTACCAGTCATGTTGAAGGTTCTGTGAGTGTACCAGATAGTCTGTAGGCCGGTGCATCGTTCTAGTCAGACTGAAGGCTCTATATGCATGCTATTTGTTATTATGCTTATGTCATGTGATGATACTTTGGGGGAACTCACTAAACGTTGGCTTACAATTTCGGGTTATGTTTCAGGTACTTCGGATGACTGCGGGAAGGCGAAGGCGAGAACGTACACATCCTCTTGTTTTGAAAACAATGATTGTAAACAATTTATGAAATTGGGTTTGTTTAAAAAGTTTAAATTTCTTGTGATTTTTATGAGTGTTATAAATCAATACGAAAACACAAACCACAAGTGTTTTGCACATCTCAAAGTTGACAAAAGTTGAATAATTTCCCAAAATGGAAAAACATTATTTAAAAAATAGGGTTAAGGGCAGTTGTTTGTGTTTGCATTTTTTTCCTGTATTTTGTTCTATTTTATTTTAAGTTGTCGTTTTTTTAATTAATGTAATGTCTTTTTTTATTGAACAAATAACTAGTTTTAAAAATTATATATGTTTTTATTGTATTTTCATTTTATTTTTTGAATTAAATTTACTTAAAAAAATGATGTAGAGTGGTGTATTAATGATAGATATCCCATGATTTTAATAGTATAATATAGTGATGAAGTAACACCCACCACTATAATTAGTAGTGACTATTGAGTATTGTAAATACACTAATATGTGGGGTAGTGTTTACAATTGTAGTTCGTGGCCACATAGACCACAAGTCCATTCGTGAAGACCATTTCGATGGTCTAATAAACGAGCATTTATTAGAAAAACCAAAACATAAAACCTTGACAAACAATTGTTTTTGATTTTTTTTTGGTAAATCAGTAAAAAAAAAGTTTAATCTAAAATTTTAGATATAAGGTGATGATTTTTTATTTTAAAATGTTAATTTACTAATGATATCTTTTTATAATAAAATATTGTTATTTGATAAATGTTACCAAAAAACTAATATGGTAAATTTAACAAAATTAAATGGCTTAAAACCCTATGACTTCCCTCTCTGTATAATGATTTCGAAAAAAGAGAGAAAAGTGGAGGGAAAACGGTGCGCTTATTGTAGACGACAATGTCCTCCAGAAGGCGTTTGAGGATAATTTGTTCATCCGACGAAGAAGAAGACGACGAAGAAATACAGGAAGTACAACCTCCTCCTCAACAACACGATGATATCGAATGCGAAACCCTCAATCTTCAAGATGTAACCCTAAGTTCCATCAACTCTAACCCTACCAATCCCTCTACTTCCATCCAAGTCGAAATATCCGACGAGGACTTCATCGATGCAGCCGAGGATCTCCTCCCTTCTCCTCAGTCTCCACCTCCGCCTCCGCCCCCGCCTCCGCCCCCGCCCCCACCCTCAAACCAGACGGGTTATTCCTCGGAATATTCCAGAACTAGCAGTGTTGGTACGAGTGAAGCCTCTGGTTGTCCAATCAGTAAAATTCTAGAAGATTTAGGGTTGAGACTACGGCGTGAATGGTTGGATGCTTGTCTTCGTGGTCTCCAGACAAACGTCCCTGGATTTTCCAGCTTTGATGCAACAAAAAAGGCTAAGCTCTGCTTTGAGAAGTTTTTGCATTCTGATATGAACATTTGCGGGGCAGGCTTTCTTCCAGATAACGTGCATCAAATGCACCTTGTTGATCTTCCTGGACCCTATGTGTTACAGGTATTTTATTGTTTCTTTGTCTCTAGTTAGTTCTTATTTGATGATTTTTTGTAGGAATTGGACTTCATTTGATGATGATATCAGCTTAATAGCTGTTTTGGTTACGATCATCGGTTGTATAGGTTGATGAGATAGTAAATATTAGTCAACCTCTTCGAGAGCGATACAAGAAGGCACATTCTGGCTTAAAGAGGTGCCTTAAGTTGTCTATGACTGATGGTGTTCAACGAATCTTTGGCATGGAATACCAGCCAATTAAAGATCTAGATGCCCTTTCACCTGCTGGATTGAAGGTTCTGTATTCTAGTCCTCACACTCACTGGAATAGTTTACAACTGCTACACATTCTTGTTCATAACAAAGTAAATCCAGATCAATTTTCCCGTTTTAGGTTGCTGTTTCTAATGTAAATGTAAGGCATGGGCTACTAATGCTGGTTCCAGAAGTGTTTCAAGTTTTAGGAGGACTAGTTGAGGAGCTTGATGCAGCAAGGCAAAGACTTGTTAATGAAGTCAATAAGCCTCCAAGAGGCAAAAGGTTAGTTGATGATGAACATTTTTCACGTGGTAATACTTTCTTTTTCATTTTTTCATTTGTTCTTGGAGTAAAAACACAATTTTTTGTTGTGTGAACATATGGGTGTTTCTTATTTCTGGTTTACTCATTGATCAAGAGTAAAACCATTAAAGATTAGATCAGAAAGGAGAGGCACGAAAGATTGATATCTATAATGAAAGTGATTTTTGTTAAATTCAAACTATTAATTTGTATGTTGTGTTTAATTTCAGAACAAGAACAGGAGTTGAACCCTCTTTAGCAACTAGAGCTACTCGTGCTGCATGGCCAACTGACAATGTCGATTCTTCAGCACCTTCAGCTAACACTGTATCCCAAAGTGCAACTCCAATACATGTAAATAACCAAGGTATGTGAATGTGAATTCATATTTGCTACATAAATTAATGTGTATTAAAGGAGATTTGTCAATATTAACAACTTTCTACCATCTTTTATTTAGTTTCCAGTGTTTTTTACTTAACCATACTTTCATGTTTTATAGGTGCTACACCTTCTTCTGTTAATGGAAGAGTGGCATCAAATTCTTCAGTTCCTGTTCACAGGGAACACGTTTCAGTATCCTCTAATAATCAAAATGCAACTCCAATGCAGGTAGATGATCAAGGTATGTGAATTTGTATTTACCTCATAAATTAATATGTATTAAAGTATAACTGTTCATGCTTGTTTGTTTAATATGAAAACAAACTTTCTGTGCCATATTTATGTATAGTTTCTTTTCTTTTTTTCCCATTAAGTGCTCTATGGATAGATAATGTGTGTGAACAAATACCGTTTACTTTCTTTTTTCCATATTCCTTTTTTTAAGATCTCTGTCAGTTTCAACAACCTTGCATTTATGTGTATGTAGGTCCCACACCTTCTGTTAATGGAAGAGTGGCATCAAGTTCTTCAGGTCCTGTTTATAGGGAATATGTTTCAGCATCCACAAATAATCATGTCTTTCAAAATGTAACTTTAAATCCAATACAGGTAGATGATCAAGGTATGTGAATTCGTATTTACCTCATGAAATTAGTATGCATTAAAGTAGATTTGCTCATGTTTATCAGTTCATATAGTTAAACGAATCGGATTTTTTTTTTTTTTTTTGTTCTAACAAACTTTTACATGAACATTTGAGTTTTTTTTATCCCTATGGCCATGTTTTAGTTGCCTTTTGTGCCTAATTTATGTCTACTTTAAGCCATATTAAAAACTCGAATACACACTAAACTCCTGTTTCTTTTCTTTTTTCCATTAAGTGCTGTATGACTTACATTGTCATCATGCTACCAACTTTGTATCATCATTTCTTTGCTTCAAGTACTTTTTTTTTTTTATTATTATTATTTTCAAAACTTTACCATGTATGTAATGTAATGTAGGTACTACTACTAGACCTTCTGTTAATGGAAATATGTCATCAAGTTCTTCAGTTCATAGGGAATTTGTTTTTAGAGCCTCAAATAATCATACCTCTCAAAATGCCACAACTCCAATACAGGTAGACAACCAAGGTATGTAAGTTCTTTTGTTCCTTTTAATTAAATTTACAAAATCTTGTCCATGTTCTTTTTTTTTTAACTTTACTATGTGTTTTATGTACTTTAGGTACCACTACCACAGCTCCTTTTAATGGAGGAGTTTCATCAAACTCTTCAATTCCTGTTCCCCTTCATAGGGAACATGTTGACTTTTCTACTCATAGTCATAACATGGTTACAGAAGAGACCACTTCCACTGTTGACTTTTCAAATGAGAGAGAAACTCATTCCTCTGCATATGCCTGTGGTATAAACACTGAAAACCCTTTCACATACATGTCCACTTTATCACTTAAATGGGATGAATCAAAACATCAAGCCTCTCATGTCCAGGGTAAAATCAAGGTATCATCTTTTTAAATTTATTTCATCATATTTTTCCCACAAAAAAATAATCTAAAAATTAACACATGTTTTTTTTAGTGTTTTTTGACTGGAGTGAAAGGGTTCCAGTTTAAAGAAAGTAGCACTTACAAACTTCAAGTATACATAGATGATGGTAGCCTCATATCCGAGATCCTTATTCACCACAACGTAAGTTATATTATAACTTGACTTTTCAATCTCCATTTTTTAAAAATAAAAATCATTTAATATTTAATAATTTGTTTTCAGGTTGTACAAAAAAAGATAGGTTATTCCCCTGAAGAGGTGAATGCCGCTTTGTCATCTTCAGACTCTTCAAGGGTTCATGACATGAAGAACAAAATGAAACAGTTTCAAGTTTTTTTAGTCAACTTCGAGGTCAATTCATAAATCATAACTAACCTATATATTTATTTATTTGTCTTTAGTAATTTAAATTTATTAAACATTTATATTTATGTGAAAATTGACAGGGGACAATGGTTGTAAGGATAAATGAAGCATGTGGTCTTCCGGTTGCTATAGAAATGCAACAGGGTTGTTCTTTATCTCATGCATGGTCGCTTCTTACAAGACTAAAATCAACTAACACTCATCAAAATCATCCAATTGATCTTTCCCCATAAGCAATATTTCAAACTTTATATGTTTGCATCCATCTAATTCTAATGTCTCAAGAATTAATATGTTTATGATTTTTTCTAGCCTCATGTTTTTACCTTCACTAAGGTGGCACTTTTGCGTTTCATATAAACTTTTGTTATTTATTTTTGTAATAGATGCATATACAAATTCGTTACAAATATTTAAAATTTAAAATCTGGGCCAAAAGTACATTATACATGACACAACATACAAAAACCTAAAGCATACTAACATGACATCATTCAATATGATCTCTTTGTGATAAATATGGTTTCTTGCTTCCCTACGAACATGTGATGAGTAAACGGATAGTCCATTTTAGTATTTTGGGACAGTGTTTTCCACATTAATAAAACCCCCATCCATCTTGGCTCCGTCAAATACTCATTTCCATGTCTTATACCATCTAAAATCGTCTTGGCACAATCTTCTGTCGACACCATCGGTGTCCAATTTAGGTTTGCTTGCAAAACAATAGTCATTACAAATGTAAATAAGCTACACAACGACTTGATAGATGGATGTCATAATAAAGAGTCTAAGAATCAATCCACATTAGAATTAGAATTGAAACTCCCACAGTGTATTCAAACCGTCATCTGATTTTTGCAAGTATACAATTCCAAAACCAACTCTGTTACATGTAAAAGCCATTTGTCGTTTGTAATTTCTGATCTGACAACTCCAGGGGTAACAATTGTTATCCCAATATGTGAACCAACCTCAACATGTATCGTTTCAAAATATCTTATGATTGCTGCTTTGCTTGCCTAACAAAGACCAAACTAAACACCATAATTACGAAAATAGTTCAAATTAAATCAAAACAAGTAATGATATTAATATGCAACACTTTGATTATATTGGAGAAATTCAGTATTACAAAACTCTAATAGTTGACCTCTATTCTATACATGATCAGACGCATACATATATAGAATAGAAAACTTATTGGATTATAATTCCTATTCTATCATCTATTCATAGAAAAGGAAACTTTCCATATATCACGTATCTTGGACAACACTCCAAAACACCGATGGGTTGACCCGTAGCTAAAAGCCCATGGCTGAACAACCAATTCGCCAACAATCATCCCCTGAATGGTTGAGACGGTAGCTCGCACACACCGAGCAACGATCTCATTTCACTGAACCTTACTCGCGCTAAGGCCTTTGTTAGGGGATCCGCCGCTTGTTCTTTTCCCGCCACGTGTTCGACTTCAACTTGCTCGTTTTCCACACGCTCTCGAATAAAGTGGAAACGAGTGTGAATGTGTTTGCTCCTCCCGTGAAACAACAGATTTTTAGACAACGCGATCGCCGACTTGTTGTCTATACGAATCAACACCTTTTGCTTCTCTAATCCGGTCACCTCCGCAAGCAACTCCCTTAGCCAAATTGCTTGACATGCTGCTGAAGTAGCTGCCATGAACTCGACTTCACATGAAGATAAAGCAATAGTTTCTTGCTTTTGCGAGCACCACGTAATAGGGGATTTACCAAGAAAGAAAATGTGACCGGTAGTACTCCGACCATCATCCATGTCTACATTATGACTACCATCACTATAACCCAAAAGTTTCAACTCGTCAAACTTCTCATATTTAATTCCAAACGAAATTGTACCACGAAGGTAACGAAGAATTTGCTTGATCGCGCGCACATGAGATTCTCTCGGACTTTGCATATAACGACTTACTACCCCGACCGAGTAAGATAAGTCCGGACGAGTGTGAAGGAGGTAACGTAAGCATCCAACTATCCTTCTGTAATGAGTGGCTTCAACTTCTGGTTCATTCTCGGCTTTCGATAATTTTAGTCCTGGTTCCATTGGACATTGTGTAGCATTACATTCTTCCATCCCGACTTCTTTTAAAATTTTCATTGCATAGCCCTCTTGTTTAATTGTCACGAACCCCTTTTGTTGAGAAACTTCGATCCCCAAATAATAAGTTAATAATCCAAGGTCCGACATTTCAAACTTCGCGGACATCATACTCTTGAATTGGTTTGTAATTTCCTGGCACGTCCCAGTCACAAATAAATCATCAACATAAACAACCACTATGATGTATTCGCCTTTTGCTACCTTTTTGTACACTGCATTTTCTTGTAAACATCGTATAAAGCCCATTCCGCGTAAAATGCCATCACGTTTAATGTTCCACGCCCTTGGTGCTTGTCTTAGGCCATATAAAGCTATCACAAGCTTGTACACTTTTCATTCTTCTCCTTTTTTCTCAAAACCTTCGGGTTGTTGTACGTACACTTCTTCTTTCAATTCACCGTGCAAGAAGGTCGTCCTTACATCCAAGTGGTAAATTTTCCATCCCTTCCCGGCCGCGAGAGCGATCAATAAACGAATCGTCTCGAGTCGGGCTACCGGCGCGGAAACTTCATCAAAATCAATGCCGTGTTCTTGTACATAGCCTTTTGCTACGAGTCGCGCTTTGTACCTAGAAATAGATCCATCCGCATTTCTTTTGATTTTATATACCCACTTTATTCCGATGGGTTTGACATTCTTGGGAAGAGACACCAGCTTCCAAGTTTTATTCCTTTCAATTGACTCGATCTCGTCTTTCATTGCCTTAAGCCATTCGGGTTTCACAATGGCTTCTTTAACATCCTTTGGTTCCTCATCAAACGATAACATCAATTCATTCATGTTAAGTTCATAATCGTTGAGGCGAATCGGCAAAACGGAAACACAATTAGAACGACGTACAGGGTTATTTTCGAATTCGTTATTGCCATCAGACTCGTGATCGCTGCTGTCCGTATCAGGTTGTGTTGAGATTAGGTTGTCTACTACTGTTGTGCTCGTCGTTGGGCTACCAGAACCCCCTGTTGAACAGTGGTAGCCGCTGGGTTGCTTCCTGGTGGGCTCGCTGCTGCAGGGCTATTATTGAGAGGAGTTGAATTAGGCTCATTTATAGTAGGCCCAATAGACATAGTTGTGTCATGTATAACAAATGTTCCTACATCATTTTTCTCTGCTCCTTTGTTCGAAGAGTGGTCCACTGTGTCATTCCAATTCCATGTCCTTTTTTCATCATAAATTACATTGGTGCTAATAATTATTTTATTTTCATCCGGGTTATACAAACGAACACCTCCCGAACCCGGTTCCGTTCCGAAATAAACCAATGGTCTCGATCTATCGTCAAGTTTCTTTAGATGTTTCGAAACAATCCTTTCATACGCAACGCATCCGAACACCTTTAAATCTTCAAGATTCGGTTTTTGACCATAGAGTTTTTCGTAAGGCGTGACTCCTACTAATGCTCGTGTAGGGGTACGATTTATAATATAAGTTGCATGTCGAACGACTTCACCCCAAAACTGATTTGGAACTTCTTTTGCTTTCATAAGACATCGTGTCATCTTGATTAGTGTCCGGTTTCGTCGTTCTACTATGCCGTTTTGTTGGGGTGAGTATGGAGCCGTTAACATTCTTGCAACACCTTCTTCGCTCCAAAAACGATTAAAATCATTTGAACTCTCCGCCTCTATCCGTGTGGAACGTCTTTATATCCTTCCCGGTCCTATTTTCAATGGACTTTTTGAATTTTTTAATTACATCCGCCGCGTCGTTTTTGTGTTTCAACAAAAAAACCACATGTATCTAGAAAAATCGTCATTTAGTACCAAAATATAAACGTTACCGGCCATCGTGGGAGGATCAATAGGCCTGCAAATATCTCCATGTAGCATCTCGAGAATATTTTTAGACTTATAATTGGTTTTCTTCGGGAATATGTGTTTGTTTTGTTTGCCTATCACGCAAATTTCACAAACTTCTTCTTGATGTTTCAAAACTGGAACTCCATTAGTCAACTTGTGCATCATATTCACCGCACCAAAGTTGATATGGCCTAGTCGTGCATGCCATAACCAAGACTCGTCATTGATCTTTGCTTGCAAACATTGGGGTTTTCCGACTTTAAGTCGTGTTTTATAAAGACGATTTTCACTACGTGGAACCTTCATTAGCAATCTTCCATTTCGATCTTTCATAGTCAAGTAATCACCATGCATTCTAATGTCACAACCGGATAGTGTCATTTGGCCAAGACTAATGACATTGCTACAAAGAGAGGGAATATAGTAGATATCTTTCATAACCTTTTGCTCACCGTTTTTACCTTCGAACAAAATTGATCCATTTCCTTCAATTCGAACACACGAGCCATCTCCAAATCTTACTCTTCCGGTTATCCGTTCATTCAACTCCGAAAAATATGAGTACTTCCCGGTCATGTGATTACTTGCCCCATTGTCGAGGTACCACATATCGTCGTCTTCTTGATTCGCCTCTACTTTGGGTGGAATGTATTTGTCTTCATTTAGGAAGATTGTCTCCTCTTGCATCATAAAAAATGTTCCTTCTTCGTGATCGACCTCTTTCGGGAATCGTTGAGATTTGCTTCATGTTTCCTGTTACGTTCCGGGCATCGTGAAACAAAGTGTCCGAACTTATCACACAGGTAACACTGAATATTTGATAGGTCTCTTTGTTCATGATTTTTGCCTTTTCGTCTTTGATCATCACGATTCTTTGATGAGTCCCTTTGATCGTGGTTTTGGGTGTTATCCCGACCACGACCACGTCCTCGGCCTCGTCTCCCACGGTATGCACCACGTCCTCTCCCACGGCTTGAGTCTTGGTTTCGATTTGAGTTTTCGGTCTTGGCATAAAGTAGCTTTTCACCGGAATCGGATGCTTTGCCGGTTTCTTTAGTCCGTTCCTCGTAAGCTTTCAGCCGCCCAACTACATCTTCAAAAGTAATGGTTTTTAATTCCAAAACTTGCTCGAGTGCCGCTACGATGTGAATGAATCGACTAGGAAGACTCGTAAGAAATTTCTTCACCAACTTCTCTTGTGAGATTGTTACTCCAAGTGTCGCTGAAACGGTCGCAAGTCCCGATAGTTTTGAAGAGAAATCGCCAATAGTGCTCGTATCTTTCATCTTCAAACTTTCGAATTCCGAAGTCAATGTTTGCAAACGTGCTTCCTTCACTCGATCCGCACCCATGTTCCGAGATTTGATTGCTT